TACAAAGGGAGGTGGAAATTTCCAAGGAATACTGGGAATCCTTAGATCTGGGTCCTTATTCCAATTTCCTGTGTTAACTTTGGAAATTGGCTTAACTTCTTTGAGCCTGAATTACCTCATTTGTAAAAATGCAGACAGTATATTTAATTATGTACTTGAGATAAAGATTAGTTAGCAATATATGTAAATTTCCTAGCCCAGCTCTTAGTAGTAGACATTTAACGACTCAATTTTCTCCACCATGACTTGAAAGAAAGAATGTAGCACAGAATGGTGAGTCAGCACCCCCAGATTCTAAGTAGCAGCTGTTAAATTTATTGGTTGCAACACAAGATAAGTCGCTCAGACTCTATAGCTTAGATTTCTTCTTCTATAAAAATAAGAGGTTGAATTGCCTCTAAGGTTTCTTCTAGCTTGAACTTATGATTATTTGCATGTTTTTTTCTAATTCAATTAGATTCTAAACTTAAATTTAGTACAACATTGTTTTTGTTACCCAAGAGGTATTGACTACTTCTACATGGTGTTGGCATCAGTACTTTCTCACACTCCTGTATAGGGAAGAGAGCCAGCAAGTTCCCAAGGATCTGTACTCTGTCCCTTGGAAGAACAAAGGAAGACACTGTCAGTAAATCTCTAGAAAGCATTCTACTTCCATGTAACAGTGATACATCTCTCTGTCTCAAAGAAGTTGAATTTTATCCATTTTAGCATGGGCTGTACGTCACACTTTAGGATTACAGACTCAGCACACAAGGATTCTACATTTGGCCCTTAGACCCTCAGGGGATCATTGGTATTTGAAGTGCTGACCTTGAGGTGCCTTGAAACGGGTCATGGCCGTTTCTATCCATGCCCTGGGATATTTCTAGGCTAGGTAAGCGGCCTAGATGAGGAGTCACTGAATTCAAACTGATGTGTCTGTGGACATAGGTTCCCTGAGGGAATAAATGGACATTTGTATCCTGTAACATGTTTTTACTCGCAAGTGTAGATATCTTTATTTTTAAAATTTTGGAAGTTGGTGCTATATATTGCTGGAAAATAGAGAATGTCAGTCCTCACTAAAAACTGTGTACAAGAATTCCATCTATGATGATGAAAACTCTAAGTTTTAGAAGTCTTTGAGGAATTGTGGAGATCTGAGGAAGATTGGCAGAGTAAAAGTAATTTCTCCGCAATTCAAAGATAGGATATAGGCAGATTCTGAAGAATACAGCAAACCTGCAAAACTGAATAGACCACTGAATTCACTGTGAGTACTTAGCAAAAGGAAGCATGATGTCTAGGGACCAGTGCAAATTCCCTAGAAACTAACTTTACTTTTATGGTTGACAGACGCATATATTAGGGCCTGAGTTCCTGATATGTTGGATGGGCTATTTCACGCTATCCTTGTGAATAGGCTGGGGAAACGTGCATGAGATTGCAGTAGTCAAGTGAATTTACATATATTGAGCAGCTGCATAAAGGAGCATGAACTTTCACAGGATTCTGGAGGACCTGGAAGACATGGGGGTAGAACTGGAGATATTTAGTCTGGAAAAGAAAAGAACTTCTTTCTTCCCTCTTGAGAGGGAGAGGGATGGTAGCTGTTATCAGATATTTTAACAGCTCTATCATCAAAGAGGAATTAGACATTCCCTGTGGCTGAAGTAGGACAATTTGGGATCACGGAGGCAGAATTTTCTGAATACAAGGGAAAAGATTTCTGTTTATCAGTCTAATGGAATGAACTGTCTTTTGAGGTAGCAAATATTATGTCCCCGAAGAGTTCAAGAAGAGGCTGGTCATCTGTCTTGGACATTGTCTAGTGGTTGCTTGCATTAAAGGCAAGTTGGACAAGATAATATTTTTTCTAAATTTTTAGATGCCAAGATAATGTTGGGGAAGAGTTAGTGTTCAGAAAGCAAATGAATATCCTCCCCTTTGTCATTGCAACTAAAGGAACATATTATGTTTTGTCACACAGAAAAGGCTTACATTTCTGAGTGCCCTGAACTAGAGATAAACCAAGAATAAGGAAACTTTCCAAAAGTCATGAATAACAAGGATTTCCTAAAAGCGTTACATGTTGATACAAGCCAGTAGGAAAGGAAAGTATTTTGGTTTTTTTTAAAGACGAGAACATTCGTCAAATGTATCCAATCCAATCAGAATTGTGACTGCCATATAATTTGATCTATGAATACTGCATCTTCTCTCATGTTCTAGGAGGAGTTTGTCTGAAAACTAAAGCCCTTTGCAAATGTAAGTAAATCTTTTCTTACTCTTCAAAGTTCTCTATGACCCTTCCTCTTCCTTCCTAGTCAGATTGTTGAAGGTCTCAATTCCCAGTTTATGAAGTTGGTAGATTTTAAACTCTTTGGACCAGGTAACCTATATTAAGAAATACAGTTTATACCATGACTCAGAATGATGTATGCATTATAACTGAAATTAAACATTTGAGAAATAATACTTTACACTTACGTATTTGTATAATACTCTGAAACTTTCAATTTAATTCAATTCATTAATAATTAAATACTGTTTATGTCCCACTAATTTCACAGGTTTGCAGGTTGAAAAACTACTGTAGTCAATAGTTAGTCACTGAAAACTCAAATAATGGCAGAATAAATGAGAGAATTCAGGTCTTGTCACTGTGGACATTTGATCAACTTGCTACAGAAAGATAATGTTTGCATATATATTGTATGAATAGTTCTGGGGTTTGCAGCACATTTATATATTACTCTTTTGTTCCTTTAGTCCTATCTTTTTGGCCTTCTCTCCTCCTCCTCCCACAGGAAATCACACACTCCTGGAAGCAGCCACTTGAAACAAGAAAGACCCTGAGAGCCGTCTATGGATAGACTACATTCGTTCTGTGTATCTTAAAGCTTCACATCTAGAGAAGCAAGTTTTAGCCTAAAGCGTGTCTGTTTAGAGCACACTCAGGTGACTGCTGAGATAATGGAATTGCTGATACACTGCTCATAGCTGCTTGGGTAACCTTCTTTTATTATCGGGAAGGCAAATGCAGTTTTTCCGATCGAAGTGGACACCTCCAGGAGGCCAACTTATTATAAAAGGCTAAAGTGTCCACATTCCTAGGAATCAAAGGGGCTTAAAGCAGCAAGGCAGTAGTATTCAATAGACAAATGCAATTTTTGACAGAACAGCAACCGCCTAAGTAGTGATGGGAACAAGAGGTAATTTAATTCTGAAAGGTACGAACTCCGCCAGCTCTGGGGTTAAGCAAGGTGCCCGAGATTGTGAGAGCCACAGCCGGGTCTGCCTGACAAAAATTCCAACTGTCAGTGCAGGGACTGAGAATACTTTTATAATCTTCACCATTTGAGTTTCCCTTGGTAGCGTCTTGAGCCCATTTCTGCAGAAGGCAGGAGCTGCATTCTGCTACTGCGTGGAAGTAAAGTGGAAGGTCGTTACAACCCAGTCACCATCGCAGTATTTGAAAAGCGATCGTGGACAAATTCTAACCTTTAAAACATGGCAACCTTGGATAGTAACGACTGGATTGTGGCTATTCTACTGTCAGCTGCTATCTAATAACAGTTACACTGTGTTTAGTGTCCTTTTATATCCTCCCCCAACCCCCAACCTGGCTTCAAGTCCTCCCATGAGCCTCTTTGCCAGACAAGTCTGCAGAGCATCTCTCAGCTGGACCCACTTCAAATGCTTACCAGAAACTCCTTCACTTACATCACTAAAAAACTTTTCTAGTAGTTTTGAATATCCTTGAAATCTTGGCTACAGCATTTCAGAGTAACAAAGGGCCTTTGTTATTTCTTCTCAAAAACTCTCTAGCAATTTGAGAGTCTGAAGAGGCCTACCTTCACAAGTTATGGATGCTGAATGAGTGTGCTTCAGATTGCAAAAGAACTGATTTATCTTCCATTTTATCAAGCTAATGTCTTCTGAAATCCCCTTTGCTTTACCAAGAGTTTACCTTTCTAGAGACTATAATTGGAGGAAATGTTTTCTTGATGTTTATCAAGTGTTCATTGTAATGTAAAGTGTTAGTGTCACAGAAGTGGCTTTGTACTCGGGAGCTTCTTCGCTGCAAACTTTCATAACCCATATTAGTAATAAAAAGATGATATTGATTTTAATGCATTTTGTGCGGGTTCTTAGTGAGTGTGCAAAGCCTTGATCATAGACATTTTTCTTGCACTAACAAAAAATATATGAAAGTTTTAAAATTGTAAACATTTTAATGAGAACAAAACGGTGCAGTGTAAAGCAGAGATGATAGCATGCTTTGGGCAATCTCTGGGCTAACCTTTGGAAAAAATTCACCGTTCACCATTAATGACTCTAATAGTTTGTCCAATTTAGCCATATTTCTTTTCTTGCTAGGGACAATTCTCCTGTCCACACTGAAAAAAAAGGATTTTGCTTTGTAGAAATCAATAGATTCTTGTAAATTCTTATCTGTGTAGAACTTAAATTTGTGGCAGGGTTGTCAATGATTATTTACTCTGGGTAGATCATTTTGATTGGATTTCCCAAGTTATGGGAGCACCTATTCAGGAGTGCTGCCTTCCCTCATAGAGAGGCAATTCCCAACAGGGTGTAGAACTTAGGCTTAAATTCTCGTTCTTATTTTCTATCGTTCCCCAATAAAACAAAAGTAAAATAGTTAATTTAAATAATGCTTTAGGGAAAAGTAAAAAGAATAGAGAGAGCTGAAAATGATGAGAGAATATCTAAGAGAATATCTAAAAGGAGAACACGCGTGCCTTCTCCATGCATTTTCTGTTAACTGCGTTTTCCTGATTCTCACACCTGTACACGTTCTCTCTTGCTTAGCAAAGTTTGAGAAGGGGTGATGCACGTATTCAGCACAGCTTGTAATTTTCCACAGTGTGTAAGTCTGACCTTTCTCCAGTCTTCTGCATATTGTTGACACCTGTTTTATTCCATTTTATTAGAGATAATTGTCCTCATGGGTCCCCGGTTGACACGCCTGGAATGAGTCAGCTGCCCTCTCTCCCTTGGCCCCTCCCTCAGCTGCTACTCACTCAAAAGGGTCGCTGGGATCTGCCCTCTGGAGCTCTGGAGGGATGGGGATTCTTTTGTAGTACATTTCCCAGTCGAAGGCGCCTCGCATGGCATCCCCAGCTTGTGCCTCATACCCAAAGTGATTGTGGTCAATGACATCGATCATGGGGCACACGATGGTTTTGTGGTTTAGTGCAATTTGGTCTGAAAAATGAAAGCACAAAATAGGAAATGACATGCCTGCCTAGGTTATCTATCATTTTTCAGCAAAGAGAAGCCTACAGATCCCTTCTAATGCATGCTGCTTGCAGCCTGGTTCTCTGCTGTCGTTAGAGCACTTAGCAGAATCTCGGTTTGAGTGCTGGACTTAACACGATGGGACAGTGATTAGGTACAATTAGTGTTGTTGTATTTTCCTTTAAAAAAGTTACGTCCCAAAGAGACTTGCAGAAAGTCCATTTAGCTCTACCTCTGTCACATTTTTGCTCTGACCTGTCCCCAATCTGTCATTTTATAGTGCATCCAACATGCATGGAGTATAAACAGGACTTGTGTTCCTTCAAGCATACTGCTGAGAAAATAGTGGCCTGCTTTCTGGAGGTTCCAAAATGTAAATATTTAACTTCATGGTTTTTCTTAGCGTCTTATCTCATAATGGCCGTGGTGGCTGTCTCCCTCGCCCACCAAATGCTGACAGATCATATACAGAATTCTGTGCTTTCAGGCTTATCAGAGATTTTGCCAAGTCCTATTTTGCTACTGTTCTTTGATATATACGCTGTTTACCAAAGCTATACATTTTATCTTGTTTTATCATATTCAAAAATATATCAGATGGTCCGATACTACTGTTACTTTCTCTGCTACCATTAAATTCTTGAGCAACTATTAAGTGATTTATAGTCATGCTATTTCCAATGTTCCCAGCATCCTTGTAAAATGGCTATTATTATCATTCCCAATTTATGTATGAGGAAACTAAGCTCTGAGAAGTTAACTTGTCAGAGGTCACACATCTTTTGAGAGCGAGAACCAGTATGCAGCTCCTGCTTGATGGTCCAGTTCTAAAACCTGTGGTCTTTCCAGTCAGCCACGCTGCTTCTCATGTAGCAGAAAGGTGATAGCTTTTTCAGTTCCAGCTCCCTCCTTTTCCATGCAGATATTATTATCGTGAGACGTTAACAGCCAGCGCAAGAAACTGGCATTTACTTAGTTTGGCTCACCTAGAATAGTTACATGCAAAGTATTTTCTTCCCAAGAATGTGCATTTAATCTATATTTATTATAACAAACTAATATTGTCTGACAGGTGAAACTTTTAAGTATGAGCAACTGCTTTCTGGTTATTTGGAAAACCTTTGGAGGTGGCATGTGGAATAAAATACATTTAAATATCTTTGAAAAAATGATGCTGTTTAGAAATAATGAGGTTTGGTTATTTCAGTGTCATTACTTTGATAACACTGATAAAGCAGAGTATGGAAATCACGGAATCCTGTGAAAGATCGCCCCTCTAGATCTGCATGCCTTTTCACTCACTCATTCATTCCTTCACTCATGCATTCCTAATTCAACAACTATTTATTAAAGTAGAAACTACATGCCTGTTACTTTTCTAGGTTCTGGGGATATAGCCAAAAATAACAACCACAAAAGTCCCTCCAGAAATGGAGCAAAGATAAACCATATACATAATAAATATCTAAATTATATACTATATTTGGAGGTGATAACTGTGATGGGAAGAAAATAAAACAGGGTAAAGGGAAGGTGGAAGGGTCACAATTTTAGATAGCATGGCCCCAGTAGGCCTCAGAGAGCCTGAGGTAACCTCAATCTTATTTCAGTTAATTAGTATACAGAGAGCCCCGCAGCATTATTTCAAGTTGAATGGGAAAGTCTTATAATGGGTTTTAATCTTAATCTAAATGGTATTTCCCCATAGATGTCTTTAACAGAGGAGACCATCATTGCTGTGTCCAGAATATTTCTTCCATCACCTCTGCTTGTGTTTTAGTATTAAGGTTTCAGTGACTTTCTTCAATCAAATTCAGAACCAGGTTGACTTACAAGTTCCTTGACCAACAAGGAGTCCCAAAGTGACCCAAAGAGAATGAGTCTGTTAAATTAACTGTCAACTTTCTCTTCAAATTTCCTTTCAGCTCTCCTCCAGCTGTACTTGCTTACGGTGGAAGCAGCCTGACTAATTTTTCATCTAAGGCTGATGCCTACATTTCAATTTCCAGGGATCAAACAAACAGATTCTTAATGGGAAATTGAAATTCAGGTATAATCCCAAGGTGAAAAATGAACCAAGAAACTGTGTGGCTCCACCTGTTTTGTCATTTCAGATGATGTGTCAAGACACTGATAGAGGAAAATAAAAAAAGATAGCGATCCTGAGCTTGAATCATTTCTTATCCATCAGGCCTATGGGAAATGAAATGCTTTAATGAGAAAAGCTGGGTTTCTCTTTATTCTCTATCTTTTTCTCTTTTTTTTCTCCTTTTCTTCTCTTCCTTTTTCTTGTTAGACTCATACGAACAATCAGAGACTCAATAATTGGCATTTAGGGAGTACTTTGGTTCATAAATAAATTAGGCCTTTTGCTGATTTCCTTGGGTGTTCAACACCATATAGGTCAAATTCAGTTTGAGGGAATCTCACTGTTGCTGATGAAACTGTAAATTGCTATGTCCTTGGACAAGGTAATTTCAATTAAAAGCTCAGAGGAGTGTCTGGCTGTGGGGCCACTGAAACATGCCTGCTGATTAGGATGGCTGGGCAGTTGTCTGCGCAGGAGCATGTGGATCGAGTGATGTGGTGGGGTGTGAGTTACTGGCCACTTCCTGTTTTAAATCCTATAGAGTTTCAATTGATTTTTTCCCCCCCACATTTTTTGCTAATGGAGCTCTGCTGGCTCTAGATGAAATCTGGCACCATAGTCAATAACAAATCATTCTTTCTGAGGCAGCTATTGTGAAGGTGTTGTTACTGGCTTTAGATCCAAGGCCAGGGAAATATTTACAGTGAAAGTTGAGTTAGCGAAATCAGGAAGAATAGGAAGGAGTACACCTTGTAGGCACCAAGAACTTTCTAGAAACATATTCTTTTTCAGGCTTACAGTTTCTTTCTTATCCACTACTGGACTTTATATCTGACTTCATTGTGAAATAAAAAACAGAGTAGTCAAATTTGAACTGAGCCTCACGTATGTTTTCTAGCTTGAATGACTTTCAGTTCTTTCGCATTGCCAACAGTTCAAGTGTGATGTGACGGTCTTCCTTCCCTCCTCTTAGCCATCTTGTGAGCATTCAAGACATATCACCTGGATAACAGTGCTTGAGGGGGTTCTGTGTAAACATGGGAGATTCTGTATCTTGGGATATAGGCTGGTGCCAGAAGTGGAAAGGAAAACTGGCAATATAAATCCTAGAAAATGTCAGGCTGCTTTCACTTTAATTGTATTCTGGGGCTGAATAATTTTCTTTTTTTGTGTGAGGAAGATTCACCCTGAGCTAACATCTGTAGCAGTCTTCCCCTACTTTGTATGTGGGATGCCTCCACAGCACGGCTGATGAGTGGAGTAGGTTTGCACCTGGGATGTGAACCCACTAACCCCAGGCTGCCGAAGTGGAGTGCATGGAACTTTAACCGCTAGACCATGGATAATTTTCTTTCCTCATCTCTTAACAATCCCATAATAATCGTTAAACTCTGTGTGTGTGTGTGTGTGTGTGTGTGTATTTTAATCTTACTATCATTACAGGTAGTATTTTTAAATACTTTTTTCTATTAATGTTTACCCAGTGAATATAACTGCAATAAAGGAGAATGTCTAAGATAAACGAAACCTTTTCAAACCTTGAGTTAGATTGCAGGTGGTATTATCTAAACCGTCAGTTTTAATGCAGTTTTCCAGTTACCTCTTTGTCCTCAGCAGTGGTTAAGATAGAATTCAAGGCTCTCGCTGTAAAAATTGTAGAAGCAGTCTCTAGCCTTTGTCAATTGCAGACTAAGTAGAAGCAGGCCACACACCCTCTCTGAAGGACGGCAATTACCCCAGGCCCTCCTGGTTCCCAGGAGGCTGCTGTGAGGATGTGTACTCACTGAGAAGCGGGGGCAGCCAGTTCACATTGACCTCGCAGTGGGAGTCCAAGAACGTCAGGACTTCTCCTCTTGCCATAGATGCCCCCAAGAGTCGAGTCCGAATGAGCCCTTCCCTTCTCTTGGTGCGAACAATCCTCACTTTGGAAAATCGGGCCATGTATTCTTCTAACTTATCCTTCAAGTGTTCTAGGAATAAAGTAGAGAATGCACAGAACGAACACAAAACATGAGTCTCAGCAGAATTACTCACAGGAGTTTACGCGTATGGCGTATGTGAATGATGAATCCAAGCTTAAGTCCATTTTTCTCCTCTCTTCATCCCAAGGGGAGATGCTAATTAGATTTTATACCCAGAGCTTTATATACTTTGTACTTTCCAAAATGCTTGATAAACTGCAAATACTGCCCTTTGTTTGAATACTGTAGAAGACACTGACACACCAGAGCTCTGCTTTGCCGTTACTGTTGGCCACTTGCCACTATGCTTAATCCTGGCCAGCACTCTCCAAGATGGGCATCAGCCCTCTGTTTCCTGCTGTGTAAAGTCAGATGAACATTCCAGTATATGGACTCTTTCCAACAAGAGGGCTCTTTCCAGCAAGACTGCACCTAGTATTCTCTGTGTTGAAAATAATGCATGTAAAACCACAAGCAAAGAAAATATCTCTCAAATCAACAAGAACCAAATAGCTTTCCCCCCCCACAAAGTAATAGCAAACTGGTAACAAGTTCTGCATCTGGCTTATGATTTTTTTTCCTAAGTAAGATTTGTCCTGCCCTAACATCTGTTGCCAACCTTCCTCTTTTTTCGCTTGAGGAAGATTAGCCGTGAGCTAACATCTGTGCCAGTCTTCCTCTATTTTGCATGTGGGTTGCCACCACAGCTTGACTGTTGACAAGTGGTGTAGGTCCAGGCCCCGGAGCCAAACCCGAGCCACTAAAGCCCAAACTTACCCACCAGGCCACAGGGCAGGCCCCAATGTGGCTTCTGATTTGAAGTGGAAAAGTGACTGACTTGTTGTTGACATTACATATGGAAAGGGGAAGGCAGATGAGATACTGCACAGTCATTTTGAACTTAGCTATTTAAGATTAGAGAACCAAAATTTAGAAATATTTCCTTGCCTAATTAAACACAAACAGTGGGAACAAAATAAAATCAGATAACTTATTTACAGAATAAAACATCTCCTACTGGCTGTGAGAAAATGCATCAATCTCTCAGTTCTTTTTATGCCAAATAAGGGCTTTCGGTGGCTTTCTGTGGGATATGTACTCACATCATTTACATCCTCTGCTTTCACTTTGTCATATCTAAGATGCTAGGAGGGCTTTACTGGACTCTCTAACAAGTGTGGTCTGATATTCATTGAAACAGAATCTTAGTATGCGGTATGTTCTGGAGATTTGACTTTCGAACTTTCTCGCATGTCTCCAATCAAAGGCAATATTATTACTAAGTCTCTTCCTATGATCTGTAGCAATAGCGATTCATATAAGGATTTATGATGCCTTCCCTGCTGTCTGATTTAACAAGTGTCAGAATTACTCTGCACTGGAGTTTCTCTGTATATAAGAGTTTACTCTTACTCATTGCTGCTTCTTATTTTTAGCATAGTGTTTAAAAAAATCTCAATTTCCTTTTTCTTCTCGACTGCCCTATTTTTATCCATCCTCACCAATACTTGTTTATGATATTTTTATTATTATTCTCATTCTAGTAGGTGTGAAGTCATTTCTCATCATGGTTTTAGATTGAATTTTTATAGTGACTAATGATGTTTTACAAATGGATCAAGTAAAAAAATACTTGGCTTTCTAAATTTTTCACTATAAAAGAACACTGGTGAGATCTTTCAAAAGAATGTTTCAGCTCAAAATAAGTTCCTCTCTATTTTGTTCTTTCTGTGATCAACAGAGATACGGAGATCAAACTAGAGAAAACTGAGATTGCAGGATTTGGAGTCAGAATAGACACGGGTGAGAGGTCTTTGGCAGTGAAATATATGGGTAGGTCATGCAAATTCTCTAAGCCTGAATTTCCTCACCTAGAAAATATGGGGAATTCTTTTTTCTTTTAGAGTATAGTGGAGGGTAAGCTTTGGTTAGATACCTGACAGTGCTCAGTCAACAAACATTTGTTAAGTCAATAATTGGAGACCCCAGCAAGTCACTTGTACTTATGAAGAGAAACAGCATTTCTAGCTGAAGAAGCGTCTTTGAAGGCTAAGCCGGAAAGATGAAAAATATAGAATTTTCTTTTTCTTGGTGGGATTTTGATAATTCACCATCTTCTATTCCTTGCAAATTTAAAGAAAAAAGTTTTGGTCAGCAACAAACAAACACATAGGACTCTATAGCAGCCCTGCAGTATCTCAGCTGAGAGGCTGGATCCTCTGGGTCTCCCTCTGCTTTGAGACAGGTGTTCTGTGCAGAGGGTCTACCTCCTGCCCCCTCCCCTTTTTCACCCCTCCCCTGCAGCCCTCTGTGAAAGCTGCAAAGAAAGATTCCAAAGACTATACAACACAGTGCCACCTGTGAATAAGATTGGAGCTTTACAGTCTTGTTAGAGAAATAAAGCAGAGACCCACGATCCAGATGCTCAGTCAAAGGAAATGACTAAGTGACAAGTCATCAATACCAGGGCTCTGTATATGTGCCAGTCTTGGAAGGCCTGTGCTCTGTCAGGACTTTCCACAGTAATGAAAATTTAAGGAACCTTTGTAATCTCATTACTGTAATTTATTCAGGCATTGAAATCTTTCTCTATTAGTACTGAACAAGGTTCATTTTTGCCCATCGCCTGGAAAGCCAAACACTGAGATGATGAGATTGCAGCAGAGAGAGGGTTTAATCACAAGGCAGCCAAGTGAGGAAGCGAGAGAATGAGTCTCAAATCTGCCTCCTTGAAAATGGGGACTTAAGAATTTTTATTGGGGTAGAGGGTGAGGTGGTCTGAAATGTGGAGAGAGGTGATTGGAGGTGAGAGAGATGAGGTAATTGATGATCTGCACAAGCAGAGTCAGACTCCATGGCTCTTCATGGGACCCATGTTCACAAAATGGTGGTGTGAGCATGATCTGAAGGTGGAGTTTTTAGCTTCTTGACATCAAAAGGTCACTTATCAGATATCTGTGTGGGCCCAGTTGATGGGTTGGTGGTCTCAACTTACCTGAGGTGGACAAGGGGTTCTAATTCCTGAAAAACAGCTCAAATACTCATTACCATGGTGATCCAGGCTCCAGGGAGATGTTATCTATAGGAGCCAGGTGGGAGTCAGATGGTATGTTGCCTAAACAGCACGGTGAACAATGGGTGGGTAAACAGCTAAAAGCTACAATCAGTAATTGTAAAAGGAAAAACCCCTTTAGTTCCTAGTTACTTAATCATCAATGGCTAACTGTTTGCCCGTTTCACTATCACCCATATAACAAACTTCATTCTATAAGTTTATCTGTGAATAGGTTGTTTGGACCTCAGAACATATTGTCTCATGAAAATGGTATCATGACAGTCATTGGGGAATGAAAATAGATCACAGACATTTGTTAAATGTACTAAAACAGTGTTCTTTTCTTTCTTTAAACCCCATTGCTCTGTTGTCAAACATACCACTAGGAGTACCATCTCAGCAGTCCGGACACTTTACTCCTCTCCTCCTTGACCCCTAAGGACTAACGGGGACTCTTCTTGGGGGAGAAGAGGAATAATTGTGTGTAGCTGCATAAGAGGAAGTGGCTCTAGAAGACAGTCACTTCTCAGGTGTTCCAAAGCGAGAATTAGAGGGTTGTTGGCCACCTGGGAGGGTTGTCCCAACTTTGGATTTAGACTTCCACACTTTTTAGTTTATAGTGGGGACTGCCTCTACATATTTCCTTTTCCTGTATGCACATTTTCTGTTCTGTGCACTTTTCTTTTATCAAAGCTCATTCTAAAGTGTTAAAAGGATTGTATGGTATGAATTCCCTAAGCATGAGGAGTTTGACCCCAAATACAGTTCACTAGATGTTCAGATCAATTCCTCTAGTTTGAACTTTGTGGCAATAATAATTAGGTTGCTTTGCCTCAGAATAATGATCTAGTTGACTGCCCTTGTGAGGGGTCCAATCCCTCGTAGTAGTTCACTTGTAATGTCTAATTACCCATAACTCACAACGAAGACAGGTATCATCAGTCTAATTAGCAAATTACTCTCTCATTCAAGGGAGTTGCAGGGGATGGTGGGATGGCTTTATAGTTAAAACATTTTGCATTTCTTTTGTATGAACAATTTTTAGATTCATTTCTAAAATACTATTAAACAGATTTTAAACATGACTTTATATTAGTAAATCAAGCACAGCATCTTTGAAGATCACTTTTGAATTTGTTTAATTTTAATTAATAACAAGAGGATTTATGATATTTTTATAAAACAGGCAGATTTCTTTAGCGACTGTGAGACTTTTGTAGAACCATTAAAATTTTTTGGTCAGTGGTCCTAGACTACTAATGGATATCCTGCTATTAAAATCTGCTGACTAGGATCTGGTGACTTGGAAGGGTAAATACAACTTAAATATGGCAGTTTTTGCCAGGGTTTATTGTATCACTGTGAGGCAATAATGAAATGAACAGTTGTACTCAAGTGACGTTTTGGTGTCTTGCTACTGTGAATATCAAATTTAGCAGTTTTCTGAGTGTATTTTCCTCTCTTTTCTGGAGATTTCATTTATGCTATATAAACTCATATGAAGAATATATCATTCATTAGCATATTAACATTTAGGGTAGCAACTAAACACTAAAAAATCACCCTCAATGATTTGCACAGTCAAGAGTCAAGGACACGAGTTCTAGTCCTGTTGCTGACTGGCCACATGCCTCTGGGTAAGCCACTTCACACCAGTCAACCTCATTTTTCTCAACTATAAGGTGAAGGGAATGTGGCCAGTTGATCTTAAATATTCCTTCTAGTTTTATGATTCTACAACTTCCCTTGTGAAGTTTACTTATAGGGTAGATCCAGTCTTATCAAGTACTCAATTTTTCCTTAAAAAGCATCCTAATGATTGGTATTTTGGTGTTTCTTTGGGTTGTGTCTCACTTTTGAAAGCAAGAGTAAAGTCAAAATAAAGCTAGCATGTTTTTGAGGTTTAGTCAAAAAACAAACTCCAGGATGTTTTCTTTGGTCAATACAGCA